TCCCCCAGCCAGCACCATGCCCCCCCCCCAGCTCCCCTTTGTTCCCATGGTGCCGGGCCCCCGCCTGAGGAGGGCACCGTGGCCGTCATGGTGCGTGTGCGGCCCCCTGCCCCCTGCGAGCGAGAGCGGGCCGCGCACCCCGTCCTGCGCGTCGTCGACCAGCACATCCTCGTCTTCGACCCTGAGGAGCGCGGCGACCACCCTGGCGGTGTGCTGCCTGCCCGCGGGCCCAAGCACCAGGGCAAGGACCTGAAGTTCATCTTTGACCGGGTTTTTGGGGAGGGGGCCACGCAGGAGGAGGTGTTCCAGCACACCACCCGTGAGGGTTTGGACAGCGTCCTCAATGGCTACAACTGCTCCGGTAAGACCTGGCGAGCACCTTCGATCCCTGCAGGAGCTCCTGCCCCATCTGCTCCCGGGGTGGGTGGGCTCAGTGGAGCTGTGGATTTATTTTGAAAGCCCCCAAGCAGCTGGGGAGAGGGGGGACACAACAGCAACACAAGAACAAATAGCCTTAAACTTGTTGGTGGCACCCAGCTGGGGCGATTGCAAGTGTGGTCAGGAGAGGGACGTTCCTGATATGGAAATGTCATCTAATCTTGGCAGGTAAACGAGGGGAAGTGAAACATGAAGTGGTCTAATAGAATCACAGAACGGTTTGGGTTGGAAGGGACCTTGAAAGATCATCCAGTCCAACCCCCTGCCTTGGGCAGGGACATCTGTCACCAGACCAGGTTGCTCAAAGCCCCGACCAGCCTGACCTTGAACACTTCCAGGGATGGGGCATCCACAGCTTCTCTGGGCAACCTGTTCCAGGGTTTCATCATGCAACCTGTGCCAGTGCCTCACCACCCTCATCGTAAAATATTTCTTTCTTATGTCCAATCTAAACCTGCCCTCTGTCAGTTTAAAACCATTGCCCCTTGTCCTGTCACTACAGGCCCTGGTAAAAAGTCTCTCTCTCTTTCTTGTAAGCCCCTTTTAATACTGAGCAGCTGCAAGAAGGTCTCCCCGGAGCCTTCTCTTCTCCCGGCTGAACAACCCCAACTCGCTCAGCCTTTCTCCATAGCAGAGCTGTTCCAGCCCTTGGATCATTTTCTGGGCCCTCTCTGACAGGTCCATGTCTGTCTTGTACTGGGGTCCCCAGAGCTGGACCGGGTGGGGTCTCATCCCCTCTCTTGTTGGAGGGGGTTTGTGGAGCAGGTGGGGAGAGACCTGGCTGGGCTGGAAGAGCAGATGAGCAGGAACAGTGTGAAGTTTAACAAGATGATTACAAAGTCCTGCACCTGGGGTGGAATAACCCAGGAGCCCAGTACAGGCTGGGATCTGTGTGGCTGGGGAGCAGCCTCGCTGGGAGGGACCTGGAGGTCCTGCTGGGCAACGGCCTGAATGGGAGTCAGCAGTGTGCCGCGGCAGCAGCGAAGGCAAGTTGGATTTGGGGCTGCATCCACAGGGGCATTTCTAGCTCAGACAGAGATGTGGTCATCCCACCCAGTGCTGTGTCCAGCTCCGGTCCCTGCAAGTCAAGAAGGGTGTGGACAGAGTGGAGACTTTCCAAAGGAGGGCCATGGAGATGATCTGAGGGCTGGAGAATCTGCCCTAGGAGGAAAGGCTGAAGGAGTTGGGTCTCTTCTCCCTGGAGAAGAGAAGACTCGGGGGGGAACCTCATCAGTTTTTGAGTACTTAAAGGGCAGCTACAGAGAGGATGGAGGCTCTCTTGCCACAAGGAAAAGACAAGGGGCAACAGGTACGTGTGGCACCGGGAGAGGTTTCATTCCAATGTAAGACATTTTTTACAGTGAGAACATTCACTGGAGCAACCTCCCTGGGGACGTGGCGGAGTCCCCACAGCTGGAGGTGTTCCAGACACCACTGGACAGGGTGTGAGAACTTCATCTGGGTTCCCTTTCCCACGAAAGCTTGGACTAGATGATCTCTCCAGGTCCCTCCCAGCCTGGGCTGTTCTGTGGTTCTGCGATAACAGGGGCTGCAACAGTGCTCGGTGCTTTAGGAGGCATGATGTAGAGGATGGAGGTGGGCACTGGGGTAGAAAACGAGGCTGGGCAGGTGATTTCCAGGCATTTCGAGGGATGAGGATCGCTTGTTCTCTGCTCTCCTGGGGGAGGAAGGATGGGAAGAAATCAGGTGGATCCATGGCACAAAGAGCACCTTGGTTTCACCATACCTTCCTAGCCTGAATCACCGTAATGGGCAGAGCTTCAGGAGGATGCTGAGTTTTGGAGCAGGATCTGGGGTGAAGCAGACACATCTTGGGGTGCTTTGGGGGCTGCTGTGCCCCTCACGAGCATCTCCCAGGCTGGCAGTGCCGTAAAGCTGGGTCTGAAAGCCGCAGACCCTCGTGCCGTTCTCAGGCTGTCAGCAGACGAGCGGCTTAACGAGCACATCACTTCTGCGAGGCAGGCACTGAGCGGGAGACGACTGCTCTCCTGTCTAATCATGCGCTGGGCCGGGCACTGGGACCGGAGGATGCTATTCCTGGCTCTCCGGCATGCTCTGCGAGCTGCTGAAGGCTGCCTCTGTCACCGTGCCCACCTGGCAGGCACGTCTCGTATCTCTATCTGCATAAAATAACTCCAGGATCCTCAAATGAGAGTCACGAAGCACCGAGTGCTGCTAATGGGGAGAAGGGCTGAGGCTCTCTAGATTAGTGTGTCCTGCTCTGATGGTGATGCTTCAAAGAGGGTGTTGAAAGATGGGGGGGAAATGAGATGAATTACAAGGTCTGGAAGAAGAAATGCCTTCTGGTAAGAGACGGGGGAACGGGGCTGCTCAGCTTGTTAAAGGGAAGGTTCAGGGGTGACTGAGCACCTAAGCAGGTGATGGTTTGGGGACTCGTTTTGTCTGTGTCTGCTAAATTAGAGAGGCTGAAAAGAGGAAAAAAAATTGCACTAAAGGATAGTGCAGCCAGCACAGAGGGTAATTAGCTTTGCCTTGTCTCAGCAAAGCCTGTGAGCGACCCCCGCTGCAGGGGTTGCTGCGGGAAGCTTTCCTCTCCAGCAAGGAGTGGATGTTACGCTGCTCCTGTTAATTAATGAATGTTTCAACCATCCACTCTTTCTCCTCCCAGTGTTTGCTTACGGCGCGACGGGAGCAGGAAAAACCTACACCATGCTGGGCTCGGAGAAAAGCCCCGGCATCATGTACCTCACCATGGTGGAGCTGTACAAGAGGATTGAGGCCAGAAAGGAGGAGAAGAGCTGCGAGGTCCTAGTCTCCTACCAGGAGGTACTCTACAGCCGAGCCATGTCCCCTCCTGCCTCTGGGTCACCGTTGCTAAGATTTGGGGTTGATCTGGACCCTGTAGTGCCACGCTCAGGGTACTTGCTGGGCTGCCAGCTGTGCCCGGTGTCCCCTTAGAGCCCAACTGGAAGCATGCTCACCCACCCAGTTCAGTGAACTGGTGCTGCTGGTTTCTCCCATCTGGAGTCGGGGAATTTTCTCTTCCTTGCTGTGGTCCACACAGCACTGAGGGCTTCCTGGCTTTGGAGGAGCGGTGGCGCAGTGACTTGCCAGTAAAGCCCTCCCAGGCTGTCCTCTGCATTTAGAGCACCGTCAGGTGCTCTTGGTGTAACAAGGTCCCGGAGGTGGTGTTGGGGGACACACACGGTTGTGCGTGACCCTGGCGTACAAAGCTCCTCTCCCTGCTCACTGCTGGGGAACTAAACCTCAGCCTTACATCGCGTTCCCTGCACCAGGTGTACAATGAACAGATTCACGACCTGCTGGAGCCCAAGGGCCCTCTGGCCATCCGGGAGGATCCCGAGAAAGGAGTTGTGGTTCAGGGTCTCTCTTTCCACCAGGTGAGTATAAAAATGGGCACAAGGTCTGGGCAACGCTGCACCTACACCAGTTCTGAAAGCAGATGCGTGTCCTGGGGACACGGGTGCGTGTGAAGACACGGGAGCGCTGTCTGTGGAGCTCCTGGCTGGCAGCAAACGTGACCCCGAGCTGAAACGAGACCCACAGAGTTGTGTGATCTCTCAGCCTGAGTTGCTGTGGCTGCTTGGTGTTGGGTTGTCTCAGTGCCTGCGTACAGGGTGCGCTGATACCTCCCCTCTGCCTGTTCTCTCCCAGCCTGCGTCGGCAGAGCAGCTCCTGGAGATGTTGGCCAACGGCAACAAAAACCGGACACAGCATCCCACTGATGCCAATGCCACCTCCTCCCGCTCGCATGCCATCTTCCAGGTGAGGGCTGGTGGTTGTGGTATCGCTCAGGATCTGTGCCGAAAAGGGGGCTAGGGAGCAAGCCCATGCCAGGACCAGCATCGTGGGGTTCCTGGTGTGCCATGGGGAAAATCAGGGTGGTCGTGGCCCCAAAAAGAGGTATGGGGCTGGGCAGGCCACTAGCCAGTGCTGCAGCAGGACAGCATGTACTGGTCATGCTAGTGGCCACATCTCCTGGACAGCCCTGTACTCCCAGCTTGCTGTTACGTCTCCCAAAGGTTGAAATTTCACTTTGTGCTTTTGACTCTTGTCGACTTAGCGTGTGGGAGCCGTACCTAAAACCTGACCCAGAGCAAAGGGGGACGATTATCGCTGGCTTCTGCTTGTGCCTCCCCCCAGGTGCCGCGGGCAGGCTGTCTCCTCCATCGTGTCCCCCTTGGCACTGCACCAGGAATTACACTCCCCCAGGGATCTGTAAATTTGCCCCCCCCCCTTGGTTTCTCAGTGCTCTCCCATGCAAACCTGCCAGTTGATTTCAATTCCAGCCAGGCCCTTCCCTGAATTAGCAGGGCCGTCACGGCTGCGTGGGGAGACGGAGGGCTCTAACCGTAATTTCAGTCTGAACCTGGTGCCTTGCCCGTTACTGCTTGCAGGGGGGAAGTCCAGGTGTCTGGATCCTTTCCCAGCCAGCTTCCCAGCTGGGCTTGTCAGTGGGTGCTGGATTCCTGCCTGCCGCGAATCCATTAACTGTGCTGGAAATCTGCCCTTCCCGCTGCTGGCTCTGTCTCCCGGCAGGCAAACCGCGGTCTGGTGAGGATGCAGGACCGGTTACCGGCCTCCAGCATCTCCGTGGCACCTCCAGTCCATGCAGGAGTTGCTGCTGGGGGGCTGAGGTTGTTATAGAGCAGTGGGGGAAGCGTTTGCTTCTTCTGGGAGATCTTTAGGGATGCAGAAGGGGAAGTTACGGAGCGATGCTACCAGGTGAGTCTCAGTGGCTCTGTTCCTCCTTGCCCGCACCAGCCGGGAACTGGGCTTGGCACCGAAAAAGCCCTGACTGGATGCCTCCCTGGGGGCACTGCGAGATTGTGTCTGGGGGCTTGCAGCCCCTGTTGGCGTCTGAGTTTGCTGGCAGAATCCACAGTTAGAGTCGGGGCTGGGACTGCCACCACGTGTGAGCGCTTTCCAGGTCGTGCCAGGGCTCTGGTTTGGCGTGTCGCCCTTCGGGGACCCGACCAGCTGTACCCTGCTCGCTCACCGAGCGTAGGAGATGCTGATTATTTTCCGTAGCTCTGTCACTTCTTGGGAGATCCCTTCCGTGGTTTTGCTACTCGTGTCACTGCCGAGTTTTTGGCTTGTCTTCTCGGCGTGCTAGGCTCCTCTTTTTCCCCCTGCTTGATCTCACGGCCTGTGTGATCCTCTTCCACATCCTTTTATAAACATTGAAACTGGTGATGCTGGCTCCAGCCAGCAACCCTGTGTGCCTTGTTGAGCTGCAGCCTCACCGGTCTCTGCCCTTGCAGATCTATGTGAAGCAGCAGGACCGCATTGGTGGCCTCACTCAGGATCTGCAAGTGGCCAAGATGAGCTTGATCGACCTGGCAGGCTCGGAGCGAGCTTCAGTCACCAACACCAAGGGAGAGCGGCTCCGGGAGGGTGCCAACATCAACCGCTCGCTGCTGGCCCTCATCAATGTCATCAATGCACTGGCTGATGCAAAGGTAATGCCGGGGTGGGTGAATGTGAGGGGTGTCCTCAAGTGGTGGTCTAGCTGGTGCAGTGAGGAAGGCAGCCTGGGCTGGGCTCTGAAAGGTGCTGTGGGACGAGCGTGGCCATCCCCCGGCGACACAGGATTCGGAGCTGAGCGCACAAGGGCCAAGAGCTGAGCAGACTCTTGATCTCTTGGTACAGAGCAAGAAAACCCACATCCCATACCGGGACAGCAAGCTCACACGCTTGCTGAAGGATTCCATTGGCGGTAACTGCCGTACCATCATGATTGCTGCCGTGAGTCCCTCCGTGCTGGCCTACGAGGACACCTACAACACGCTCAAGTACGCCAACCGGGCCAAGGAGATCAAGCTGTCGGTGAGGACCTCGCGTTACGACAGTGATCTGCCGTGTGTTTGGGAGCTGCTGGGGATGTCTGGGAAGGAGCCTGGTGCATGGTGGGGTAGATTAGTGGGTGCCTCCCTTCTCCAGCTTGAGTTTTCCAGCTCTGGGGTGCTGATCTGGGCAGAAAGCAGCTGATGAAGCTCCAAACACTGTGTACTAAAGCTCTTCTGCTAAAGCTCCTCAGCCCAGAGCCCAAAAAGGCTTGTGACTGGGACAGGGGGTCCCTGAGCACAGATCACGTCCACTGCAGCCACCCTGGGGACCCTGGAGGAGGCTGTTAGCTGCGCTGCTCTAGTGTTGGGAGGGGGGTACCTGCTGCCCCAGTGCTTCTTTTAACCTCTCCCTCGTCCCTGTCTCTGCAGCTGAAGAGCAATGTGCTCAGCTTCGACTGCCACATTAGTAAATACGCTGTGATCTGTGAGCAGCTGAAAGCGGAGGTGAGATGCTGGTGGGGAGGGCAGGGCTCTGTCTTCAGCTGTGGTTTGCTTGGGACGTGGACCTCTGAGCTCCTGGGGGCTGTAAAACCGTCTGAGCAACAGATGATCCTTCCTCACAGGTGGCAGATCTGCGGGCAAAGCTCCGTGCCTACGAGGACGCTGCCCGGGAGGCAGAGAACCAGGCGCTGGGGCCGCTGGCTCCCCTCAGCTCGAGCCTAGTGGCGCTGCCCAGGTGAGGCTGGTGGGGAGGAGGGACAGAGCTTGGTGTGACCTCCTGCTGTCCCCCGTGTCAAGGAGCCTGCGGGGTTTTAGTGCCGGTCGGAGCCTAGGTGTCTGTCAGAAAGCAGATGAGCTTCTCTGCTGGTGTGCGCCATCATCTCGACTGTGGCTGGGTGTGGTAATGAACCTGACGGACCATGGCCTTTGCAACCCAGCTTCCCTTGGTGCTTGCACGCTAAATCTGTTTGATCCATCCCAAAACTTCTTATGCAAAACGACAGCTTCACCAGAGGATCTGTGGCTCAGCGGCTTCTTCTCTGGCTTCTGTAGATTGGAGGAAGCTGTCCCAAAGACGTGCTTGGCCCTGGATGATCAGAGGGAGACCGATGGAGAGCAGCAGGAGCTGGAAGATGGATGGCCTGTTCAGATGCAGCTGGAATCAGAGGAGGTGGTGAGATAAGGGGTGGGCAGCACGGGAGGGCTTGGCATGATGAGCAGGGCCCAAAGAGGCTGGGGGGCTCAAATACCCTTGTGGGGTACACTAGGCATGCTGGGAGAGGGCAGGAGCTCAGCCGGGCTGTGGGGTCCTGGCTCAGCATGTGCTGGGCTGTGGATCGTTAGCAAAACCCCTTAACTTCCCAGCTAACAGGGAATTTGGGGACAAAACAGCTCAAACATGGGCTAATCCTGGGCTTTTGGGTGATTGCTCCAGGCTCCAGAGGAAATGCCTCCCAGCAGCCCCGGAGCAACCCACCAGACAGATGTCCAGCTGGAACCGAAGAAACCAAGCTGCCTTCTACAGGGGTTGTCTGGCAGCCAGAGAGAGACGTGAGTGTCCTCGTGCTGTCCCCATGTGCTACTTCCTCTTGTTTGCCTATGGAGGACGAGTTGTCCACCCTCCTGTGTTGCATGCAGCCATCCTTGGGATGGTCTAGATGGATGTAGGACCAGGTCTTTGCTTGCAGATGATTGCCTGCCCTGTAAAATAAGGGATTTGGCTCCTGGGGATCTAATCCCATGGTATAATCTCTCCTGGAAATGCCAGCAATGAAGGTTTCCAGGCACAGCAACTGCGTGAGCCTTAAATGTGTGTTGTTAGTCCTGAAATTACCTCCGCAAAGTCTTTCCTCCTGCCTCGGCTCCCCCAGGTCCTGCCCTGGCAGGGCTCCCATGGCACCATCTGCTGATGTCTCTGCCCCAAGCATCTTGGCAGAATGAACCTCTTTAGAGAGGTCTCTTGAGGGACGCTGGCCTTGACGTGTGCCTGGATCTCTGTCTGCCTCTAGCCGAGCTAACGAGTGTCTGAGGCCCAGCAAAAAGTCTGTGGATGCCATTTGGTCGCTTGTAACCAACAGGTGAACACACAACTCGCAGCTGAGGTTCTCCAGTAAGATATTTACAGCTTGGGTATCTCACAGCTTCAAGGTTTGCCTCTCTTTCCCCAAAACTCTGCTAACAGGCTCTGCCCCACCCGAGGAGGTGTCTCAGAGGTGATGCTGGTGGTGCTGAGCTCTGGTACTGGTGCCACTGGCTCAAGCTCACCTGCTAAATGGTTCTTGGGTCTGTCTCTCTGTCCCAGGCTTGTAGCTGCTATCCTGAGCGTTGCCCGAAAGCAGTATTCCCTCCTGAAGGCTGCCAACCTCTTAACTCCTGACATGGTCTCTGAATTTGAGGAACTGGAGCGCCTGGTCCATCAGGAGGCTGGTGTAAGCCTGGAGCAAGTCAAGTCCCCAGACACACCCGCAAAGGTCAGCGGGGCCACCCCAGCCCCGAGGATGCAGCAGGGCTGTGACGGTGAGGATTTGGGATAGTTGGTGCTGTTCCCTCTCCTTTGTCTCGGCATGCGCTGGAGGAACCGGTGGTAGCTGGGGGCAGCTCCCAGCTGTGGGCACAGGGCAGAGAGAAGTTTCTCCTGATGTTGTGGCCAGCGGGGCACGCCGAGAGCAGCTCCAGCCTCACTTTGTAGAGCGTTTCAGGCTAGCCAGCATCTCTGGCAGCCCGGGGCACGGCAGGAGCCGTGAGCAGCCCTTGTCTCTGGGGAGCTCAGCATGCTTGTGCAAGTCAGCTTAAATGTGAGTGATACTTCTGCTTCAGGAGACCAAAGCAGCAGTTCTGATCCTAACTTTCTCTTGTCTTGTTTGCTCCTCCATGGTACGTTTGCCCAAGTCAGCCCGGCTGTAGCCTCCCAGCTGGCAGCCTGCGTCTGACCAGGGCTGAGCTCTTCCTCCTCATCCTCAGTGCCAAGGCCGAACCTGATGGTGAAGCTGTGGGCTCTGCAGACCCTGTTTTCCAGGGACAGACTGGGCATTGCCACGGGACACTTGCTTTGGGACCAGTCTGGTGCCTTGAGGCTGGCAAGGCGCAGGATTATTTGTGCTGGCTCTTTTCCTCCGGGTTTAACACGGTTTGATGGAAACACCTGCTGACAAACGGCTGCTGTAGGGCTCGCTGGGCAGATCTCTGCTGAGCTGTGACGGGGGACAGAGGGGGATGCCCCGGGGTTTGCGGGTGCCTGGAAACTGCGGACAGGGAGGTGACTTTCTTCTCTGCTCCTTTATCAGAGGTGTCTGTCACCGTGCCCAGTGCTCCTGTGACGAGCACCGCCCCGCAGTGCTTGCAGCAGCTCGCTCCGCTCTCTGGTCCCACACCAATGGCTCCCAGCCCGATTAAGAAGAGGAGGAGGTCGGAGATGAACAGTGCTTCCCAGTCAGGAACTCCCTGCAGCCTCAAAATGCAGATGAAATGCCAGCGGAGAGGTGGGAAAGAAGCAGAGACTCCCAGGGCGACGCAGAGCCTAGGCACCCCCTGTCTCAAAGCAGCAGCCCAGGCACTCCCTGTCTCGCCGGTGCCATCGTGTTGCACCCCCAAAATCTGTCCACTGACTGTCACCAAAAGCCGCGTGCCCCTGGCGGTGTCGGCTGCCCAGAACTGCTGCACCCTGCCTGCCCTGCCTGTCCACGACCTGAATGTGACTTTTGAGATCTGCGAGGACAGCAGTTCACTCGGCGTGGCTGAACCAGCTGCCTTCAGCCTGCCTGAATTCCCTGTCTGGGAGAATGTCCAGAGCCTCCTAAACAAGCAGGAGGGCCCCTTTGTGCCCAAGTAAGTGCTGCCCTGGATGGGTTACCCGTGTTTTTGGCGATTCTCCTCTCTGTGGTCTTGCTGTCTGGGTGAATCCTTTGTGGATCACTGCAGCTCTGCTAAGGGGGGAGACTGGGCAGAAGACCCTCGGCCTGGGGACGGGCAGCCAGCGGGCCGAGCTCGTGTGTGAATCGCTTGCAAAGATATAAAAAGCATTCCAAGGAAATCTATTTCTTCTCCTTTTTGCGCTGGGACATCCTCCAGATGGCTTCTGGAGCCCCGAGTGCTGGTTGGGAAGCAGGTGGGGCATCGCCTCTCCTCCCAGAGGGGTTGGAGTGAGGGTCGGGACTGCACGCTGGGGGTTTTTCATTTGGTGGGGTTGTTTGGTTGGTTTTTGGTTGGTTTTTTTGTTATTGCTGGTGCTTCAAAGAGGCTCTGGCTTTTGCAGAGCTGCGTGAATTTGTGCGGCCATCCAAAAACAGAGATTGGCACGCCCTTGGTAATGCAGGACACCCTTAGGTCTCCCTATCTCCTCCTATAGCTCTAGGAAATCCTATAGAGGGTAACTGGGGAAACTGAGGTACAGGGGAACGGCCCAACCACCTTAGGGAACAGCAGTACCCGGCCGGCTGCCACCTCCTGCACGGATCTCCTGAGGATTTATCCCTGTTTGAATCATTTTCCCCTACAAAACTGGACAGGTTTCCTGTTCCCTGCAGGTGGATGGCGTTGGCCCGGTTGCCTCCCAGCCTTGTGAGAGTGGGTGGTCAGGATCCGGCCCTGACACTAACCCTCTTTTCCTTGGCTGCAGAGCCTGCGTCTCAGTGTTTGCTGTGAGGGGTTCCTCCATCCCCAAGCCCTCCTCGGTTTCCAAAGCATCTGCGCAGAAGCGGAGGCGACTGGAGAGGTGAGACAGCCGCCGGGACCCCGTGCCC